GACTGAGGACAGAGCTTCACACAGTTCTCTCTGACAGGTTCAGCCAGTCAGCCTGGGGAAAGATCAGCAGTGAACACAAAGAGTTTTGTTCTCATATCTCAAACTGTTCCTAGTTAATGTAGTTTTATCTCCACTTACAGAGCTTTCCTGGAGGCTTTGACCACTGGCAGCAGCCTCAGAAGAGCCTCCTCTGAAGCAGAGTATTTCTTCAGGTCAAACACGTCCAGATCTTCTTCTGATGACAGTAAGATGAAGACCAGAGCTGACCACTGAGCAGGAGACAGTTTATCTGTGGAGAGACAGCCTGAACTCAGGTACCGTTGGATCTCCTCCACTAGAGAACGATCATTCAGTTCATTCAGACAGTGGAACAGGTTGATGCTTTTCTCCGGAGACGGGTGCTTTCTTATATTTTTCTTGATGTATTCAACTGTTTCTGGTTGGTCTGTGAGCCACTTACTGCCTGTGTCAGCAGGTCGTGTAATAAGGTCTGATTGGTCTCAGTGAAAGACCCAGGAGGAAGCGGAGGAACAAGTCCAGGTGTCCGTTTGGACTCTGTAAGGCCTTGTGCACAGCATTCTGGTAGAGATGTTTAGGTTTTTGTCTGAAGACTTTAGACCACCAGGGGGCCATCAGGTTGACTCCAGAGTTGATGAAGGTCAGATGGACATGAAGAGCAGCCAGAAACTCCTGAACGCTCAGATGGACGAAGCAGAACACTGTGTTCTTGTACGTTCCTCTCACCTCTTTAAAGACCTGTGTGAACACTCCTGAGTACACTGAGGCTGCTGATATCGATGCCACACTCTCTCAGGTCGGACTCATAGAAGATCAGGTTGCCTTTCTGCAGCTGCTCAAAAGCCAGTTTTCCCAGAGACTCCATCATCATCTTCCTGCTCTCTGGACTCCAGTGTGGATCTGTCTCAGCTCCTCCATCATACTTGACGTTCACTTTGGACTGAATCACCAGGAAGTGGATGTACATCTCAGTCAGGGTCTTGGGCAGCTCTCCTCCCTCAGTTTTCAACATGTCCTCCAGAACTGAAGCAGAGATCCAGCAGAAGACTGGGATGTGGCACATGATGTGGAGGCTTCGTGAGGTCTTGATGTGGGAGATGATGGTGCCGGCCTGCTCCTGATCTCTGAATCTCTTCCTGAAGTACTCCTCCTTCTGTGGGTCAGTGAACCCTCGGACCTCTGTCACCATGTCCACAAACTCAGTGATCTGATTGGCTGCTGCAGGTCGTGTGGTTATCCAGAGGCGAGCAGAGGGAAGCAGCTTCCCCCTGATGAGGTTTGTCAGCAGCCGATCCACTGAGGTGGACTCTGTGACATCAGTCAGGACCTTAGTGTTGTGGAAGTCCAGAGGAAGTCGACACTCATCCAGACCGTCAAAGATGAACACAACCTGGAACTGATCAAACCTGCAGATTCCTGCGTCTCTGGTTTCAGAGAAGAAGTGATGAACAAGTTCCACCAAGTTGTACTTTTCATCACTCACCACATTCAGCTCTCTGAAGGTGAATGGAAATATGAACTGGATGTCCTGGTGGGCTTTGCCTTCAGCCCAGTCCAGAGTGAACTTCTGTGTTAAGACTGTTTTCCCAATGCCAGCCACTCCCTTTGTCATCACTGCTCTGATTGGTTTACCTCTTTCAGTTGAGCCTTTAAAGAGGTCTTCTTGTCTGATGGTGTTTCTGATCTGTCTGGTTTACTGGATGCTTGTTCGATCTGTCTGATCTCATGTTCCTTGTTGACCTCTGTGGTGTGTCCCCTGGTGATGTAGATCTCCGTGTAGATTTTATGTAGGGATTCAGATTTTTCCATAAATGTGATATTTTCATATGTTTCCTTCAGGTTTGATTTGAGTTCACCTTGGCACTTAGTGAGAATATCTGAATGAATAAGAAAGACATTTACATGAAAGACACATCAAAAGATTTCCTTCTAATTGGACCCATTTCTGACAAAATAGCAGGTTATTTTCCTTATGTCAAGTCACTGGATCTTGTTGCATATTTATCTGTACATTGTCCAGTATAAGTTCCACCCCACAGAGAACCATCTGTTTTCCCACAGAGAACCATGGCCCTAAACCTGACTGACTCTTATTCCTGCTGCTACCAGCAGATCCCAACACCCACTGAGGGTGTGGACACAGCTCTCTCTCCAGTTATACAGGAAGTGGATGGCTCTTACTGTGTTGCAGTATACTCCTGCAGTAGCCTACCATCTACAACACCCTGGGGGGTCCCAGTAATAACCCGTCCTTCCTCACCAAGTCATGTAGGACGGCAAATGATACCCCCTTCCACCTATAGGCGGCTGGGCCATTAGTAATGACTAGGACAGTCCCATTCAACATCCTGAGACTGAGTCAGCAGCTAACCTACACTGTGGAAAACAGCCGGGGTTTATCCATGACTCCCCCTCCTGAGATATCTGACAGTTCGGCAGGACAAACCTCATTCCAAACAGAAATGGCCGTTTCCTGGGAAAACGTAGCACTCAAGGACTCACTGCCATTTCAGAGCACACTGATGACTTTCTGGTCATTCCTCTGATCCATCCCCTCCCCAAGACTGGCTTTTAGCATGACCCACTTGTATTACATATCTCCAATGTCCCACCAGGATAAACTCGTTAATATAGCATTGGTGGTAGAATTCTCACCTGGATGCCCGGGTTAGATTCCCAGCCAATGCAGCAGAGTGTTTAAGTGGCGCAGTCTGCAGGAATTTGTGTTGGGAACCGAAGGGTCGCCGGTTGGAGTCCCGATCGGACCAAAATAATACGGAGTGTAGACTGGTTCCTGGAGAGGTGCCAGTTCACCTCCTGCCCTTGAGCAAGGCACGAACCCCCAACTGCTCCCTGGCGCTGGACAGACTGGCCGCCTGTTTTGCTCAGGCCTCTCTCACCTGTCCTGTGCATGTGTGTGTATTGTACTGTCTGTTACCACAACCGAGTGAATCACTGAGCTGAATTTCCCCTTTGGGATGAAATAAAGCGTCTTCTCCTTCTTAATAACATCGGCTGCTAATCATAATGACGTTGGATAGTGTCAGTGCGGTCGGACTCTCAAAGCACAGCAGTTTATTTTCCTAAGTCCTGATGAATCTTCCTATCATTAACCCCAAGATGTTTCACAGAGGTTAAAGAATTGTGGTTAGGAAGAGAAGAAAGGCGATATATTTTGGACAATTTTACCAAAACCCAAACTTCCTAATCCAGGAAAGGTAATTGTCTTCCTAAAATGCTGATCTATAAAGGTTTTACAACCCCTCACCTGGAACCAACAGGGTAACCCTGCCAAAAACTAGTGGCCCTGACCTCTCTGCTTTCAGGGGTACCTCAATCCCGACACCATGTGGAGGTGATGGTTCTCTGAGGGGTATATCAGGAGTGAAAAATAAAAAAAGTTATATTTTGGTAAACTCTTTTTTAAAGACCTACCTTCAGGGTCTGATGGGAATTTTGATAATTCCTCTTCTAGATCATTCCTCGGGATCATCTTCAAAACTTCTCTGGTCACTTTAATGGTGTGTATGCCGTAGTACGGAAGCATCAGATCCACTGTGTCCATCTGGTCTGCTGCTTTCTGTAGTCGACTCTTTGGGATTCCTGGGAATTTTAGGACCTTCTTCTCCAGGCACCACTTGAATTTTTTTAAGTCCTTTTCCTCCAAATCTTCTAAAGTTTGTAATAGGACTTCTCTAGGTGTCTCCATCTGTTCTCCCTGCAGAGCAAAGGTACCAAGAAAGAAAATCCTTATCTTACAGAACAATATGTTTTTGTATTGTATTTTTGTACTTTTGAAAACCATAACAGGCCTAAAAACGCATCTTTTTAGAATAGCCTTTAACTAGATTTTTAAAACCCCCACATTTTGCCATGTCACTGCTTTATTCTGTTGTCTTAATTGTTTTGATTGTTTTGTTTACCCTTTTTACTCTGTAGCACTTTGAGTTTTGTTTACGCAAATGAAAAGTGCACTTATAAATAAAATTGACTATTATTATTATTATTAACAGGCCTTCAGGATCCAAAGAACATCTGCCATGTGACTTTGGATGGCTT